TGTGTATTTAACTTAGACACAGAATCCAGCTTGGCTTAATTTATCACATGTCTGAATTTTTGGCTCCAAACAGTTTTATCCTTGGCTATTTACTCCTAGCTTCTGAATCTGTGTGACCTGCAGATTCATATTGTAATTCTTTCTCCAACCACTAGATGATTTTTCTAGTGCTTGCTTCTCTGGGTCTCATTTCTATGACCTCCTGGCCAGGGTAGAGGCTAGATTACCTGGGAGATCATAAAGCCTAACCTGGTTGACTGGGAGCCAGCAACTTCATCTCTCCTCTCTACTTCAATTTTCTGGTGTTGTGATTGGCAAGCTCCAGGGAGGTTGGCACATTGGTTTCCATGTTTTTATGTTCATTTGTGTGTTGTTGTTGTTGTTTTCTTTTTAGGTCCCTCTTCCTTGATTAACATAATGAAACAGAAAGTAAATGTTGCACCAAATATTTTCATTTCTACTTTCCTTTAGTCATTATTTATAGACCATGCAAGCTAATGGCTTAGGAGCCTGATTACATGATCACTCTATAATTAAGATGATATGACTGCATCACATTTTTCTTCTTTTAGAAAAATGTAGTCTTGCATTTGCCCTAACATGCATTTGGCCTGGAACAACTTATGCCCCTTCATTTCTTGTTGAAATAGATATACCATCAGCACATTCTCCTTGTACTACCTTGGCAAAGTGACTCACTTAAAACTAGTGAGATAATTCATTGAATTCCAATCCAATACAATTCTGTATTTGGTGATCACCACCTATGTACTCAACCTTGTAAGCATGGATGTCCTTGATAAGGTTTTATCATTAGAACACCTCTGGGTAAAGAAGATAGGTTTATTTTAAAGTCATTGAAACACAAGGATAGAAGAAGCCTCAAAAGATTACTGCAGGTAAAAATATAATACTACTATTCTAGAGAAGTGGGAAAACCTTTTACTTTTAAGGATTCATCACTTCCCTTAGGAATCTAGGCCAGAATTTAAGAATTCTCACTTTGGAATCAGGGAACAATTTCAACCTATTTTCTCCTTTCACCAACTTAAAAACTACCTTTTATATATTAACTAACCCTTCTCCTACAGGGATTCAATTAAAAGACTCAGTCTTCCCTTTCCAGCCCAGAAGGACGACAATGATACACCCTGCTCCTTTGGCAAAGTGGGGAGATAAGGCTGCCTCCTGATCCTCCTTGAGCCTTCTCATTCAACCAGACAATATTGATGGTTTCTTTAGTATGAGTGGGGTGACAACAAATGATCATGTTCAGCAATTACAATATAGTTTGGCAAGGAAAACTGTGTTGTTTTCAAGCCAAAACATAAAATGTCAGGAAATGGCCTTTTGGCCTAAATTCATCTTTTTTTTTGGCATTAAATCAATATTGAGCTATTCTATTTTCTCAAGAATAACCTTGTACATAAAGTAATCCCAATTTAAGAAATCATCTTGCTTCCAGAATTCCATTAATCATTTGTAATTTCTCATCAGGATTGTCAGTCAAAACATGAAAGAGCACAGCTTGTTAAACATTAATTCATTTAAGCATTACTAGACTGAAATTAGGCCACACGATTGTCAGTAAACCACAGGCTAGCCATCCTTCAGGAAACTATAAGAATAGGTCACTATATTTTTCAGTGGAACTAGAGTAGAGGCTGAAGTCATGTTTTGTTTTTGTTTTTGTTTTTTTTGGAATTGCACTCATTCAAGGGAGGTGGGAAAATAACTTGCTGGGATGCATAAAAGACTAAAGTGAGACCCTGAATTCTGATAAATCTCTGCCATGGGCTTGGACGTGATTTATGACTGAACAAATCACTTTACCTGCATTAATTGCTTTCATCTTTCCTCCTGTAAAAAGCAATCACCAAAGGGTAAATTAATTGAAGTACGAAGGAATTAGACCAGATGATCTCCAATTTCCCTTCCAGCCTTAGAGCCTAGAGGATCTGTGCTTCACAAATATTATTTTAATTAAATACTACATTTAAAATTTAACTAAATATAAACACAATAAAAATTAAATATCACTTAATTTGTGCCTTGCAACAACCCTGTGAGGTAGATGCTACTTAACAGATGAGAAAACTAGAGGTTAAGTGACTTGCTCAGGGTAACATAGCTAGTAAGCACCTGAAGTAGGCTAGTAAGCACCTGAAGTAGGATTTGAACTCAGGTCTTTCTGACTCCAAATCATATACTTTATCCACTGTTCTACCTTGCTGACCCAGGTCACTCATTTTGCATTTGGACCACTGGAAAAGAAATAGTCTGAAACTTAAAGGAAATTTAATTCATTCAATGACCATTTCTTAAGCACTTTCTATATGCTTATGTACACTGAAGCTGGTCTTGTAGGAAATACAAAGATAAATAAGACACACCTGGCCCTCAAGGATCTTCTACTCTAGTAGATTACCTATGACACACCCCATTTGGAATTATAAAACTTACATAAACTTTAGTGCTCATCTAATCCAATTTCCTCTTTTTGCAGAGGAAGAAATTAAGGTTCAAGTCATGAAATGACTTGCCCAAAACCCAAAGCAAGTAAGAAAAGCCAGAGGAGGGCTAGAACCCCAGGTCCTCTGACTCCCAAGATTGTTTTCTTTCCACTACAACATGCTTTTGCAGTGATTTATGAAGAAGTATTCAATAAACATCCACGTGAATTTATAGCGATGCAAATTATGAACTCAATGCATCTTCTATTGCATTTCTCCCATTAATACGTTTGTCAACATTTATGAAATTCTTGGTTCTACAAAAATGAAATACGGAACAAGAGAACTGAGAATATTTACAATTATATAGGGCTTTAATACACTTCAATACTTTAAAGATCTGTGATTCTATCAGTGTGGATATATTCCCTTAATGGACACTGCACACACATATGCCTTAACGATGGGTGTGAGTTGCCATAGCTCCCAAAATTCATGGTCAAATTTCTGATGATAAACTTCTCTCGATATAGCTAGGCTAGTGCTCAGAAAGATGCTCAGTCCTTTCCTTAGTCTAAATCAGAAGTCATTCTGGCAAGATAGTTCTGGCCTACAGTCTGGTAACTTGGCCTTCTGCTGGTCAGTCAACAAGCAGCTGTTAGGTGCCTACTATCATCAGGCACTGTGTTAACAAATGAAAAAGGAAAGTAAAGGAAAGAAAAAGTAGGGTCCCTGCTCTCTAGGACCACACAGTCTAAGGCGGGGGAGGGGAACAACAAACATGTAAACAACTATGTACATGCAGTATATATATATATGATCAATTGTAAAGGTGTAGTGCAAAGCGTTGGATTTGCTGTGTGATCTTGGACAAGTGATTTAAGCCTCATTTTCCTCATCTGTAAAATGGACTAGCTGGACATATAGTTAACATATATCAAGGGCAAAACTTGGATCCATATCTTTCTGATTTTGAGGCTAATTCCCTACCCACTGGATCACACTATGATAACATTTATCCACATCATCCTAACGGGTGAAGGTGAATCTGCTTTCCCCCTATGAAGGGAAAGTATTGCTATGTCTATATCCTTAGGGTTCTATTTCCTCCTCCTCCTTCAAATCTATGTTTTTGTTCAGAGTTTTGATGACTGGGTTTTTCCCAGCCATGGCTTAGATAAGAGTACAGATGCTCTGTTACCGAGGCCTGGTGTCCTGGAGAAACCAGCCAAGAGAAAGAGAGATCCCTTTCCTTAACTGAACTTAAAGCTAATACTTCACACTCTAATCACCTGTCATCTAGAGTACCACAAATGCCTCCTAATTGGTCTTCCTGCTCTGCTCCTGAATTTCAGGACTTTGAAACCATGCCTCAGTTGCTCTAGAATCCTAGAAGTTTCCTAAGCTCTGAGGCCTCCTCACTCTGGAATATCTAACTATCCATACAGTCTTCTCACCCTGGAATATCCCTTCACCAGATCTGCCTCCTTCCCCCATTGGTGAGCCCCTCTATTTTGTGAAGGGGTTCAGGATGCCCAGCTTTTATTCCCCTTCAGGATCTACTCCTAACTTCCTGGATTTTAAAATGATACCCCCACCCATACCTGGTACCTTCATCTCCCCTCCTCATCCTCTCTCTGGAAGCTCAATGCAAGTAGGGATTGTTTCATTCTTTGTGCTTATACAAAGCACAGTACCTGGTACAGAGTGGGCACTTAATAAATATTTGTTAATTGATTGATTCAATCCAAAGGGAAGAATTAATCCCAATGGCATTGGGATCTTATAACACATGTGACTATATACAGCTTGGTAGAGAAGGGTAGGGGTCGCTTTCTAAGACCATCTATCACTTCTGCTGCTGAGAAAATGGAGAGCTTGGAAAGACTAGAAGATGCCTTGAATATCAAGAACTTGGCATATAAAGTATGCATGTGTTTGTGTGTGTGTGTGTGTGTGTGTGTGTGTGTGTGTGTGTGTGTGTGTGTGTGGTGGAGGGTGGAAAGCAGGTATCCTCTTCCCACCCCACCCCTATCCCACAACCCCCACTCTGGCACAAATATCTGTTGATCCCATCCTAATGCTTAGAAGGGAACATTAGAAAAGTAGGTAACAATGTAATGACCCTGGACACCTTCTTAAATTCAGCCTGGGTTCATTCCATTCTAGGTCACACCACATTGTTTGTTATCTCAATCATGTCTGGGAAGTGGTTGCTTCATGCACCTTCCCCGTCCCTTGTCCTCTCCATAGGGCAACAGCTAATACTTGACCAGGCTTTCAGGATGCTGTTGCTTCAGAGAGAAAAGGTTGGCTTTGACCAAGAGGTGGGGGTGTGGAGACGAGGTGGGAGGAACAGGAACTTGTCTGCAAAATCTGGGAATTTGTGGGAGGGTTGGCTGGGACCCAGGAAAGGGACACAGAGAGAGAGAGGTTTCCCCACCCTTCTGGTAAATCAGCTCCTTGATTGGCTCTTGGCCCTTTTAGTGGGTGCTTTGACAGACTGTGGTCAACATCATCTTTGGAGTTCATATAAAAGGGTAGGGAGAGAGTGAGGTGTTTCAACAGTTGCTTGCTCTGCAGACAGGGGACAGAAGGGCAGAGCACTCCAGACACTATGCAGTTGTCCTGGCATCCCCAGAGGTTAGCTCTGTATTGTTCCACGTTACTCTTATTCTTTTCAACATGCCAAGCAGTAAGTGTGACTACACGATTACTATTTTACATATATATATATACATATATATATATATATATGTATATATTATATATGTATATATAATATATATATACATATATATACATATATATATTATATATGTATATATATTATATATGTATATATAATATATATATATATTTTTTTTAATACAACTTTTGGAATTGAATCACAAGGAAAAAAATGTGGTGACCAGCTAGTGAAATTCCTGTTGTTTCCCTTCCACAGTATGTTGCCACCAGAGACAACTGCTGCATTTTAGACGAGCGATTTGTAAGTAGTTGTGTGTCTTTTGTTTTGTGTTTAACAGAGAGGGGGCCTAGATACAAAGAAACCCAGGACATATGGCATAGGAAATTACTGGTTTGGGACAGCAGGGATTTGGTTATCACTGTCATTTGAATACTGGGGGCTTTAGGTCAGAACTCTTGGGTAGGGAGATATTTGGAAAAGTGTTCTTTCATGGTTATCTTGCAGGGTAGCTATTGCCCAACTACTTGCGGGATTGCAGATTTCTTAAACAGATACCAAAGCACTGTAGACCAGGACCTACGGCATATGGAAGATGCCTTAAGGGATATTGATAATAAGACATCAGAATCCAAACTGCTGATCCAGAAAATCCAAGTCGGCCGCAATTCTGATGCAAGACCTCAAAGTAAGAACAAGCACAAAATGGGAAAACTAGAAGAGAAAGTGGACATTCTTCCCACTTCCTTTTCCTTTACCTTATTGATGTTTTCTTTTTTGATCCCTTTCTGTAGATGTGATCAATGATGTGACTCAGAAGTCAAGGAAGATGATTGATGAAATTATGAAATATGAAGCATTGGTTCTCACCCATGAAAACAATATTAAGTAAGGACTTTGCCTTGTAGGGTTGTTTTTTAAAGGCTACCCTATTCCAAATTCAATGTTACTTACTTCAGGGAGGGATATTTTCTTTGTCTATTTTTTTTCTGTTTTCAAAAGCTGAAACTGGTAGTATGCCTGAATATTTCAAATATACCACATGGGAGAATTTCAAAGCCATAGAAATTTGTTCTGTGTTATTTTTTCCCTTGTTCATATCAGTCTATGGGCAGTGGAAAGAGTATTGAACTTGGAGTCAATAAGACCCAAATTCAAATCCTTACTCTGGTTTTACTTACTCCTTACTCTGATTTTACCCATTTTGTGGTGTTAGAAGAGTTTTTTCATCTCTGATCCTTAAATTTCTCAGCTATAAAAGGAGGGCGTTGAGCTAGATGACCTTTAAGATCCTTTCAAGCTCTAGACCTATGTTTCAATGGTCTTAGCTCCTTCAATGGTCCATAAAGGAGAGGTTTCCTTGATGTATTCACTTCCCTCTCATTGCTACTGTCCAAATGTAATTTTCTCCTCTGGTTTCACATCTCATGTTCAAGTTAATGAAATATTGAAATGAATTTTTTTAATGTGGCACTACAGCCCTCTTAATTTTTTTTTTAAGCAATTGGGGTTAAGTGACTTGCCCAGTGTCACACAGCTAGTAAATATCAAGTGTTTGGTCTAAGGTCAGATTTGAACTCAGATCCTCCTAACTTCAGGGCCAGTGCTCTATCCACTGCGCCACCTAGCTGCCCCCTTTTTAAATTTAAAAAAATTTTTTAATCCTCGAAAGGGTCAAGAACATGGGAGTGTTAGATCATAGGAAATTTACTTTGATTGCTTTTCTGTATTGTTTTTAAAATACTCTAGCACTTTGGATGGGATGGTACTTGAATTAAAGAATGAGCAAAAGGACTTCTTAAGCACTTACTATGTGTCAAGCACTATGCTAAGTGTAAGGAATATAAAGAGATAAGCAAGACATTCCCTGTGGTTGAGTTGATATTGCAGTGGGAAGTATGACACACCTAGGAAGTTTCAGCTATAGATTTGATGGAAAGCACCATTGGTCCTAAAGATGCAGTGGCAAGGGAATATAACAAAAATCCAGAAGTCTTTAGGGTTCATCTGTCCTTAGTGACAGAGTAGTGAATGTCAAGAAGATATCCCAAAGCAAAGTGTTAGACATCTGCAGCCCCATTCTGCAAGAAGGGTCAATAGCATATCCTCCTGTGACAATGAGGTCCCAGGCATGTATAGTCTCCATATGATTAGAACTGAGCCCCTTCAAGTTGGGCTCTAGCAGATATGAAAAGGAATACGAATAGTTAGTAGATACATGAATGTTCTTGAATTTCTGATCTACTTTCTTGGGAGGTGGCATAGCACCATGGAAACCATGCTGGATTGCAGTTGGAAAACTTAGGTTTAAATCCTAGATGGCATACTTCAGAGTTGAATGATGGTGGGTGTCAGGTCCCATCTCTAAGACTCAGTTTTCTATTCTGTAAAATGGAGGTAGTATTCATGCTACCTTTTCCATATAGTGATTGTAAAAAACTTTTTATAAACCTTAAAAAGTGTGATAGAAATTGAGCTAATATCAAATTACTTGGCATGTGCTCATTTTATTCAAACCCAAAAGACCATCATAGATCTAGGGCTGGCAGAGATCCTAGGCTCATCCAATCCAATGTCCTCATTTTGCTGATGAAGAGCCTGAGGTGTTTGGTGACTTGTCCAAGATCACACAAATACTAAGTGGAAGAGCTAGGATTTGAACACAGCCCTCTGACTCCAAACCCAGTATCCTTTCTATTAAAGTATTCGGCATCTTAATTTATTGCCTATGCTGATGCCCACCCACCTCCCGTTATATTCTTTCTATTCCTGTTCATGGGGAATAAAACCAAAATGAGCCCCAAGGGTCTTTGCTCACAAAGCATAGAGAATTCTTTCCTTCATACCACATGCCTGTTATCTAGGTGCAGACATTGAGATTGAAAGTGTACTCCAGGGGCAGCTAGATGGTACAGTAGATAGAGCACCGACCCTGAAGTCAGGAGGACCTGAGTTCAAATGCAGCCTCAGACCAAACACTTGACACTTACTAGCTGTGTGACCCTGGGCAAGTCTCTTAACCCCAATTGCCTTAAAAACAAAGAAAAAAAGTGTACTCCAGTCTTAATGGTATCTGTTATATTTCTTCCCCCCCCCCATGTAGATTAGGGTGCTTCCCCTCAGCCCCAACTGTGTCCTTTTATAATTTTTACCAGAAGAGAAAAACAAACAATTCTGTCTCGGGTAAATCTTGGGAAAACAAGGTAACATCTGTGAAACAGACAGTTATTAGAGTCAAACGAAGCCTGAATTATTTTTTTTCTTGTTGCTTTGTTTCGCTTTGTTTTGGTTTTGCTTTTGCTTGTAGGTATTTACAAGAGATCTTGGATTCAAACAACCAAAAGATTATTCAGTTGAAACAAAAAGCAGTTGAACTTGAAGCCAAATGTCAGGAGCCTTGCAAAGACTCAGTTCAGATACAAGAAACCACTGGAAAGGGTGAGTGAGACACTAATTCTGGGATCACCTCTCTGGAGGGGGAGGCAGAGTGCCAATCACAGATCACTCTATGAGTGAATGTTTCGCTTCTAGCCAACTGGACCTTGGCAGTCCAGTGATATTGGCCTCCTTGCTGTTCCTCACACAAGAAGCACCATCTCCCAACTCTGAGTCTCGTCACTGGCTGTCCCCCCTGCCTGGAATGCTGTCCCTCCTGGTCTTTGTCTATTAGCTTCCTTGGCTTCCTTTAAGTTGCAGCTAAGTGCCATTTTCTGCAAGAAGCCTGTCCTAGTTCTCCTTAATCTTAGTGCCTTTCCTCTGAGACTAGCCCCAGTTTATCCTGTATATATCTTGTGCTTACATAGCTATTTGCATGCTGTCTTCTCCTTTAAAATGTGAACTCCTTCCTTGTATCCCCAATGCTCAGCACAAAGTAGATGCTTAGTAGGTGCTAGTCATTGACTGATTTACTGTTTAGGTGGTTCAAGTTTCAAAAGGAATTATAGTGCATACATCTTCCTTCAGGGAATGAAAACGCTGTGCAATTTGGAGGAAAAGTGAGCTTGGTCTTAAGACACTGAACACATTCTAAACTAGGGTTGCGGATTCTAAGATTGAAAGAAATCTCAAGACCATTTAGTTTAACCTATACTGGATGAGAATTTCCTCTACAACCACATAGACAGTCAGCAATTCAGCCTCCACTTACAAACCTCCAATGAGAGTGAACCAACAGGCAGCCTGTTTTATGTTTGGAACGTCCTAATTATCAGGAGGTTTTTCCTCACATCTGCTTCTCTGCAAATTCCACTGTTGCTCCTAGCTCTGCTCTTTGAGTCCAAGCAGAACAAATCTAATATAGCCCTACAAATACTTGAAGCCAGCTATCCTGGCTAGCCCCACTAAGTCTTCCCTTTCCCCATTAAACATTCCCAGGTCTTTTAGCAAATCCTCAAACAGCCTCATGTCAAACTCCCTTCCCATCCTGATTGTCATCTTTTGAATGAGCGCCCACTTATCCATGTCCTTTCCAGAATGTGGCCCCAGAATAAAACAAGAGGAACTGCACTGACTGACACAATCTGATTTTTCCAACAGATTGTCAAGACATTGCAAACAAAGGGGCCTCAGTAAGTGGTCTTTACTTTGTCCAGCCATTAAAAGCTAAGACACAGTTCTTGGTCTACTGTGAAATAGATTCATCAGGCAATGGATGGACTGTACTTCAGAAGGTATGTTATTGTTCATCTTCTTCTCCTTTCTCTCCCCCTCCTGGTATTCTTTATGCTTCCCCTTTATCCTTTTTCCTCTCCTCCTCCCCCCTTTCTTCTTCTTCTTCTTCTTCTTCTTCTTCTTCTTCTTCTTCTTCTTCTTCTTCTCCTTCTCCTTCTCCTCCTCCTTCTCCTCCTCCTCCTTCTTCTTCTCCTCTTCTTTTCTTCTTTTCTTCTTCTTCTCCTTCTCCTTCTCCTCCTCCTCCTCCTCCTTCTTCTTCTCCTTCTTCTCCTTCTTCTTCTTCTTCTTCCTCCTCCTCTTCTTTTGCTTCTTCCTCCTCTTTTTCTTCTTCCTCTTCTTCTCCTCCTCTTCATCATCATCATCACTATTTTTGTTTTCTTTGAAGTAAACTTTAACCTCCAATCTTTACATTCCTCTTAATATCATGCCATCTTAAAACAAAACTAGAGAAATAACTTAGAAAGATTCAGGCTGCTATAAGAAGGTGGAGTCTTCCAGAGAGTTCAGTAATGACACTCAGGTGCCAATACCATCAACTACTTTTACCAATGGAGTGTAGTGGCATTTAGTGTCGGTTGACATGTATTCAAATTCTAAGTCTGCTATTTACTATCTTCTTGGCTTTGGGCAAGTCACTTCATCTCTTTTGGCCTGAGTTTCCTAAACTGTAAAATTAAGATCAGAACTAGAACTAAGGTAGGATGACCGGGCTTTGCTTTGGGGCAATGAAATTTAGAGGGTACAAAAGAAGTTAACATATGCAGTCATTTTGCACCATAGAAGTTCTGTAGTAATTAGCCCTTCCAACTGAATTTTTCTTATATTGTTTTCACAATATGCATTACAAAGGGCCAATTTTAATTCTACTTGCCCTTGATGAATTCCATAATGCTTGTCCTGTACCCTGACATGAATAGTTACAGCTCTGGACTAGACATTCATTAAGATTCTTTCTACTCACTAATCCTGTATTGTACTTCCTACTTCAACTATTCTATCAAAGAAATGGGAGCTGGAACCTTTGGTTGTTAGATGTTTTAGACAGAGCACAGAATGATCCCCTTTGATAAAAACGAAATCCACAGTCTGAGTCCTTACTCATAGCATCTAAATAAATTACCATTTACCAATATTTTAAAACCAAACTGTGACAGTATTAATGTGTTGGTCACTAATCATCTGCTTTTGCCTTTGCAAATATTCTATTAGAGATTGGATGGGAGCCTGGACTTCAAGAAAAACTGGATTCAGTATAAGGAAGGATTTGGACATTTGTCTCCAACTGGCAACACAGAGTTTTGGCTGGGAAATGAAAAGATTCACCTTCTAAGTACCCAGACTACAATTCCATACGCATTAAGAATAGAATTGGAAGACTGGAGTGGCAAAACCAGGTACAGTTTAAGAGGGGCATCTTAAGACAAAAGGCTCCTTGGAATTGGTCTTTGTCAGTTTGCCACAGAGCTACATGGCAAACCAGCAAGGCAAAAGCAAAGTGGCACTCAACCCTCCTCATAGTAATTTATTTGCTTCTTGGGCTATTTCGTGGATAAAGTACTGGTTCCAGCTAAAGAGCTTAGGTATCTAAGCCAATTCTTAACCAATTCAATTGCTTAAAAGTTCAGCACGCTGGTTTCCACAAATTCACACCAATGAAGTGCAAGATGAGGGACATCTTGCATCTTTGTATTTTCCTAATTCCTATAAAAGAGCAGTAATTGCTTTGATCTGTTCATGTCGTGGAAACATACAACCTTTTGCACTGAATTCCCTAGTTAAACCATTTTTAAATATTTCTAAATGGAGCAATATTAATATATCAGTAGAATGAAGAGATCAATTCTGCGTCAAACTGGTGAGTTTCTACTAGCAGAAATATTACCATATTACAGATTTTCCTCTCACAAATTTCCATTCTTTAAACATTGCAGACCAATGAAGAAACTGAATATTTTATATATTCTATTTGAGCAGCTTCAATGTGAAATACCTATTTTCCTCCACATTATACAATTCTGTCCCTACCTCACATTTCCTCCTGAAAGAGAATTCCTTTCCCTCACCTGGAAATTCCATGCACTTTTGCAGGCATGATTATTCATACTTTTCCCAGTGCCCCCACAGTGTGCCTGGCCTTCAGCTCCCAGCAGAACTGGTTTGCCAATTGAGAGCAATGTCACTTTACTCTTGTATACAGCAAAGACAGTACGTTTTCTGACTTCTAACGTTCACATTTCTAGGAAAATAACTTCGTCAAGGGCTAACAATGCTAACTTATTATTCTCTTAAGTTTTTTGAGCTTGGAAACCAAAGAATAATGATTAGAAAAATAGCCATGGTCCACTAAGGTTCTGTCTACACGATGTCAAAGACAGACATCGGTGAAAAATTCAGCCAATTTTTCAGCTTTTCAAAATATCTGGACTTCTGGCATCAGTGTTGCATACAGCCTGGTACATAGTAGGTGATTAATAAGTTATTGTTGAATTGAATTGAGTCTAGATCATACATCTAGATGAATAATATTTTTTGAGGGGAAAGGTGTCTCCTGGTTGCCATGTGATACTGACTCTTCATGAGTGTTGTCCATCTCTAAGCCAGAAACTGAAGTATAAATGAGTACTTCATGTGTAAACACCATGACAACTCTAGGGATAATGCTGGTATTTCCAAAAAAGAGGTTACTGATGGGTCTATTCCTTTTTCCATAGCACGGCTGACTATGCCATGTTCAAGGTGGGGGCTGAAGCTGACAAGTACCGGCTGACCTATGGCTACTTCCTTGGAGGAGATGCAGGAGATGCCTTTGATGGCTTTGATTTTGGTGATGATCCAAGTGACAAGTTTTTCACCTCCCATGCTGGCATGCAGTTCAGTACCTGGGACAATGACAATGATAAATTTGAGGGTAACTGTGCTGAACAAGATGGCTCTGGCTGGTGGATGAACAAATGTCATGCAGGCCACCTCAATGGTGTTTATTACCAAGGTATTGTCATTTCTTGTTTCCTGGTTCATTATACAGTTTTCATGCAAGGCATTAAGTGCCAGTGTGCTATCATGGATTTGGGGTCAGAAGGCCTAGATTAAAATTTGCCTCTTCCTCTCTGTCTGTGACCCTAGTAAGATGATATAAAAACACTGAGCAAATCACTTAATATCTTTGATCTCAGATTCCTCATGCATAAAATCAGTCTTTTGCAACTGAGCCTATGACCCTATGATCTGATTTATGCAAAGACTGAAAAATAGTTAAGAGATGGATGGGTGCTTTTATTATTTTAGTTCCTTTTTTTTTTTCAAGGTCAGTGTTGGATAAAGCTTAGCTAACACTTAGGTTTGGCCCTATCACAGGGTATCCAACTGCTGCAAATTATCAGTCTAGTGATTTGTCATGGGCTATTCAATTTTCACCCTCAAAGTTAGTCTTTGTAGTTACCACACTGTTTCCAGAAGTTAACTGTTCCCTAATTAAATATGCACGTCATTTGAGTAGTATAATCTGTGAGTGCTCATAAGCATATATATGCCTTTTTTTTAAGGCAATAGGAGTTAAGTGACTTGTCCAAGGTCACACAGCTAGTAAGTGTCAAATGTTTGGTCTGAGGCCAGATTTGAACTCAGGTCCTCCTGACTTCAGGGCTGGTGTTCTATCCACTGCACCACCTAGCTGCCCCTATAAGCATATATATGTATACGTATATGTATGGATGGATGTATATACATATATGTGTGTATATGTATATGCATATAGATAGATAGATAATGTGTTTGTGTTATCACCTGCGTGGTAGTTTGTAACAAATCACTGAGGGTGCATTTTCTTGATGATAGGGGGTCACAAAAGACCTAAAACAGAAAGTACTGTTTGGAAATGTGGGCAACAGAGCAGAGGATCTGGTGTATAAAAAGGTGTTGGGAGAGCAGTGGGTACCTGGGCCAGCAGTTGGGAGAGAAAAAAGGATATTGACAGCCAACTTTGTGTATATTTCTGCTTCCTGAGGCCGCCTTCCTCAAGGTCCTTCAGTTCTATTCATCCTCTCAACCATCAGAATATAAACTTCAGTCTTTCAGAGCATTACTCTAACTGATAGTCCACCTGAGTCATGTCAGAAGGGAGGGAAATTTGCTCCTGAATACTACCACATGTTGTTTTTGAGCAACCTAATATCCTTGACTCCTTTCTCTCGAAAAACTCACTGTCATGTTGGCTGTTAGACCAGGGACCTTGCTTCATGTGATATTGACTTCTGCTTCTGTCATGGAAGCTGCATGACTAAGGTCATTCCCTTGTACCACGCTGGTGACTCCTGATTCACCCTTGTACTAGGCACTAAAAAAATTTCTTTTGAAGCACATGAGGTTTGCTGTCTACTTTGCAGTGAGGGCTGTTAGCAACACTCCAGTGCCATTTCCTGGAGTACACTATTGCTGGCTCAGTTATGTACCCGCATTGGAGATAGGCAGGTTACCTCATTCAGGTAAACAGGGGAGGGAGGATTTGGGCCTTTCTGACTTGCCTTTAGAAAAATAACCCAAGTATATTGATTTCAAAATTGCTAAGTTTAATGAGGAAGGCCCACTAGATGTGTTAAGGGCAATTTGGAATACCACTAGATTCCAGGTGGGTAATCTATATGGAACTGACTAAAAGAAAATGAATGGGAAACAGTGAATTAAGTGCTTGCTATATGTACATAGTAGGTAATTTACAAATGATTGCTGAATTGAAATGAGTCTAGACCAATTCAATCCCCTGTGCTAAGCAGGGATGCAAAGTAAAAAGCAAAAGATCCTCTGCTACCAAAGAGCTCACATTCTGACACATATCAGAGGCCCCAGCTATAAGCCCAATGAAAAACTCAAGGGTATTTAGGACACAGAGGCAAAACAAATGGGAATGCATCTTCTTTAGCGTCATTCCCCATTGATCAGACCATATCTGTTGCTGATGTTGAACCACTAGAGAGTTGCCAGGGGTTTTAGGGGTTGGCAGACTTTCTTTTCTGAGTCTTCAGTAGTAGTAGGTGCTAAGCAGGCAGGGGTTACAGCCTCTGCAGGGGTAGTTGTTAGGGCTTGCCTCCTCAAGAGTTGCTCCTCTGGGGGCAGCTAGGTGGTGCAGTTGATAGAGCACCGGCCCTGGAATCAGGAGGACCTGAGTTCAAATCTGGCCTCAGAGCAAACACTTGACACTTACTAGCTGTGTGACCCTGGAAAAGTCACTTGATCCTAACTGCCTTAAACTATATATATATATACATATATATATATATATAATATATATATGTGTATATATATTATATATGTATATACACACACATATACATATATATATGCATGTGTATGTATACTTATATACATATATACACACATATATGTATATAAAAAGAGTTGCTCCTCTGGATAATGGCTATAGAGGCTGGGTGAAAAGCTGGGCCAATGGTCTGGGGTAGCGGAACTTCTATTTGTGTGGTGCTATGGAAACCGTAAAGCATTATAGGACCAAAGGATTATGGTTGGCAGAAACTTTAGAAATCATCTAGTCTAGCTGGTTCAACTTATTGATGAGGAAACTGAGCCCCAGAGAAATGAAGTGACTTCCTCAAAATCATGCAAGTGGTAAATGGTGAGAGCAGGATTCAGATGTAGGTCCTTTATTAGTGGAAGTATCTATATCCATAGCTATCAATCTATCTAATATTATTATAACATATTATTATATCATATGTTATATTTCATGTTATTGTTATCAATTGTTACCAATCAGTATCAAAGAGATACTGACTAAAGATAAACATGAGGTCACATCAAGCTCTTGTGAAGTCATTGAGTTGAAAATCAGAATGTTGTGTGATCAAATCATTACTGCGAAGATTGTTTGTAGGTGACATACTAGATAGAATGCTAAACCTGGAGTCCATAAGACCTGAATTAAAATCTAGCCTCAGATACTTACTAGTTGTGTGACCTTGGGCAAGTCACATAACTTCTGTCTGCCTCAGTTTTGTTATCTGTAAAATGGAGGTAATGATAACATCTACCTCTCAGGGTATTGTGAGGATAATAAGAGACAACACTTCTAAAGTGATTTGAAAACCTTAAAGAGCTTTATGAATACTAGCTATTATCATTGTAATTACTCATATTATTTCAAAATTATTACTAAAATATGATTTCATATTGTTACTGGAACTATCACTATTAGGTTTTGGCTCTATAATTTTAATGGTGCAGGGAACCCCATCTATCGTGCAAGATCATCAAATGTTCCAGAATTTTTAGGATGATGGAGTTTTCTGGGATACTGAAAAGACTTAAACCGAGGTCTACCTGAGTCTTCAGCTGAGCCTGGGGCTCATAGAACATCAATGTGCTGCTTCAGGCAGCTCCCCAAGACTGACCAAGCCCTCGTTCAGATGTAATCTGTATTGGTGGATGGGAATTTTCACACTAGGAGTCTCCCACACTGATGAAATCAGATACATTAGCAACGTAATAAGACAGCCATCTAAAATTGTTTTTTAAAAAGAAGGGCTTTAATAAGATTTTCAAATGTCTTACATGTTGCATAGAAGCACTTGTTTTAATGCCTCAAAGTCATGGTGACACCAGTACCAAGTACAACCTCTTAGGGAATGATTTCATGAGCTGTTGTGGCCACAAGTGTCATTGTCTGGTGGCCAGCATTTTGATGAAGACCCTCTCTGTGCTTGGCTAAGCTTGTCCCTAAGTAACGGATGACCCATTCCCAGGTCTATGCTAGAAGCCTTGGAAAAAATTACCCAGCACTTAGGGGACCTCTAGAACCCAGGATCACCTTCATGTCACAGTGAGGCAAGACTTTAGTGGAGGATATTATATATTATTTATAAATGGTAGAAAATAGCACAGCCATATTTCTGTTTCAAAGCGTTTCAGACTAATGAGATATATTTGTATAATTTATGTTGTAGGGGGCACTTACTCAAGATCATCAACTGCCAATGGCTATGATAATGGCATTATCTGGGCTACCTGGAGGTCAAGGTGGTACTCTATGAAGAAAACTACCATGAAGATTATTCCATTCAATAGACTTTCGATAGATGGCCAGCAACAACACTTGGGAGGATCCAAACAGGTGGGCTCAGATCACATGTTAAAATAAACTATTAAGAAATGATTGAGCACTATATGTATTTTTTAAAACATTGTCCTGCTCATTTCATAAGGCACACAAATTTCCTTTTCAATATTTATCTTTCACTTCCTATACTTGTTGATTATTATTCTCCTGCATGTATTCAGCCTGGTATGAAATTCACTACCTGCTCTTTGGCTTTTTAGACAAACAACTTCATGATGGAATATTTTATGCTTGCTGATTTTAAAAATTAAGTGTTGGTTTCTTGCATATATGTATATATTTGTGTGCACATGTATATATAAAATATATGTATGTATAGTATATAGGAAATATATGTATGTGTGTGTCTGTATAGACATATACACACATATATGCATATATGTAAACTATGGCTATCCACTGAAGTTCAATCTGTTGCTCAAGTGACCATTTCTTAAGGCAAATTTTGGTAATTATTTGTCATCCATATATTGTAGTGGTTTAAAAAATTTACGGGTAATATTTTAAGTCTGTTCATATTTATTATGTCTAACATCTAATTACTCTTGTATTTAAAGAATTATAGCTCTGTTTCATTTTTGCCATAGGTTGGAGACGTTTAAAAGGATGTTACAAATATGACCTACACTTTAAAGGACTTTTATCTGAACAGAGACATGTTGTTTTATAAATGGGAGAGTGGATTTGTTATGCCACACATACTTCATTTTTGTTGTATTGATCTCCAGGATTGGAACCATCACAAACAACTTTGTACATGTGATAATTTATCTCTCTGCCATTTCAATTAAAAAAAATTTAATGTCTATGACCAAGTGCCCTGTGCCATTACTTGGTCCTTAACCAAAACCAAAGGCATCTCACATGTAAGGATATAGTTGGCACTCATACTGTAGGATGGGCGTTTCCCAAAACATTAGGTACAGTTGTAGAAAAAGGACAAGACATAATTCCTGACTTCAAGAGAGTGGATAACGAGCTGGGATACAAGTTCAATGAAACTAAATACCAGTAATCAGAAGTGACAGAAATGTAAGACCCAGTTAGCCATAAACACAAGTCACAAAGTCCAAAGTCTTGGAGAGCTAAACATAAGCAGCTACTTTTATTCCAAGAAATGAGTGACAAGGAAGCATTGTACCTGGTGTTCCAAAAGTCTCTGTGCATTTTAAAGCTACTAATGGTTTAAAATGCACTAAGATTTTTGGGACACTCTTATTTAAAATGTTGTGAACATTCACGTTATGCCTGAATTTCAATATTTCATTCTACATTCTCTATTACTATTGACTATGAGACTGTAAGCTCCATGAGAGCAGGGACAGTAGGATTTTTTTTTTAATATATCTAAAATGTGTTTCTCCCCCAGCATAGTAATCTTGCATACAGGAGGGGCTTAATAAATATTTCTGGCATTGAATTCAATGGAATTGACCTGAATTTTCCTTTTTATGGCATTGGGCTCACACATTTACATGTTTATGTGCCCCTCCTTTCTGTACAACAATGCTGTGTGGTTGTATATCTCTTGCATAGAGGATGTGCAAGGGGGAAGAGGCTTGAGGAATCTCCCCAGCACACTCTCTCTGCTTAGCACATGGTACATCTGCTTACAATTCTTTGGGATGCCATAATACAGTGGAGAGAGTTTGGGATAGTAGCCTGCTCCTTACCCACTTGCCTTGAAGAATCTAGGTGAATGTAACAAAAGGGGTTTCAGAAATCATCTAGTCTGGCTCTTCATCATTGAATTGCTCAGGAATCTAACCCACAAGGGATAAGAAATGACTTACCCAAGGTCATTCAGGTGATAGGTTATCTTTCTCCAGAGCCAATACTCTTTTCTCTTTACCATCTTGCCTCCATCTGATGATATCAGTTATTAATCGCTTCTAGCATTAAAAAAAAAAGAAAAAAGAAAGATGTAGGCATGAAACATGATCAGGTGTTTAGGGAAAAAACTGTGTTAGCTGAATTTTCCATTCTCAGTAGCTCAGTAGCAAAAGTACTCAATTTGGAGTCAAAGGATCTGGGTTTGAATTCTGTCTTTTCTTGCTGGGTGACCTTGGGCAAATCACTCAATCTGAGTATTTGTTTCCTATCTACAAAATAAGGGGCTTAGAAGATGTGACTCCCAAGATCCCTTCTAGCCCTAAATCCTGTTATCTTGTTGCCATGTCCTTAATTACAAAATTCCTGTTCCTGTTGATTATGTTAATCAACATATGCTAATAAAACATGTTAGATTTAGGCAGAAAAAATTGTTTTCCTCCAAGCAACCAAAAGCACAAATTTAAAAATTAAATTTAAATAATTTAAATTTAAATTTAAAAAATCAAATTTAAATATTAAAAGCCACCATTGTTTTTCCACAATATTGAAAAGGAGTGGTAATTCTAATAATTCAAATAGCAGATAATCTAAAAGCTATTTAACTTCATTTTAAAGTGTTTCCCCCCCCCATCCTCTGAAGGATTAACTTCACTCTTCTGCAAAGATGCAAAGAATTCTGGGGCCACCACCCACACAGGTGGACTTTGGAAGGATTCCAGCTACTCTTTGGGGGGTAGGCTCAAGGTCCACAAATGTTGAGCTGGCTTGTCTGACGTACATCATGACCTTTAGACAAAAACCTTCTTCTAGGGAGATACTGATTAAAGATAAACATGAGATCACATCAAGCTCTTGAATTCTTTCAAGTCATTGAGTTGAAAATGGGAATGCTGTGAGATCATCACCACTATAAAGATTGTTTCTAAGCTCATTGCCTCACTGGCGTACTCTTCTCCTAATTAATAGTAGGCTGTGGTGGTAGAGTAGTGGTAGGTGGAAAAATATCTAAGTGTTTTTGATTAAAGGAACTTTCCTGGTGACTATATAGGGTTGGGGACAAGGGGGCGTTAAAAATTGGTGAAATCCTGAGACTAAAGTAGTGATACTACAATTTACGCATTAACCAAAGAGTTTCAATTGCACTACTCTACTCTCCTTTGATCAGGAAGAATTAATGCACTAGATATGTTGATATGTTCCCTTTCTTCAGTTTCCATCTATCAATTGGATTGATAAGATTGAAATTGGAAAGGTTATTTTATTCATTCATTTATACAATCGTTCATTCATCTGTCGTTTCCTGGGTGCTCCTCATGTGTAAGGCACTGTGCTAGGGAATGATGAGGTTATACAGATGAATGAAACAACAATCCCCACTATCAAGCAAGGACCTTACAGACTAGAACGTCCTCTCCCTCCCATCTACAATTTTATTCCACTGTTCCCCAGCAATTACTCCTCGTTACCCTTCCCCATCCAATCCATCCTCCACACTACTGCTCACCAATCTTCCTTCAGCACGAATGTCTCCAGGTCTAAAAAATCTTCATATTTGTTTGCCTGATGTTGAAGGACTTCCTCAACCTGACACCATTCTTTCTTTCCATGCTTATCTCCAAACACTCTACATTCCATCTTAATGTGACTGCTCCCTTTCTGCTGAACATAATATGCAATTTCCCACCTCTGGGATTGTGTTCACATTTCACCCTGTTCCTGGAAAGTCCTTTCTTCCTCTCTTTGCCTGTTGAATCACTAACCAGTCTTCATTTTTTTTAACAATGTTTTATATTTTTCTCCTTTTACATGTCAAGAAAATTTTTAGCATTTACTTTTACAAGATTTTGAGTTCCAAATTTTTCTCCCTCCCTCCCCTCCCCTCTTCTAAAAATGATAGGCAGTTTGATATAGTTTATACATGTGCCATCACGTAAAAATATTTCCAAAACAGTCACAGTTGTGAAAGAAAAAACAGATCAAAAGAAAAAAAAACACAAGACAGAATAAAGTAAGTGAAAAAAACGTACTTCAATCTGCATTCAGAATCTATCAGTTCTTTATCTGGATATGGATAGTATTTTCCTTCTTGAGTCCTTTGTATTTGTCTTAGATCATTGTGTTGCTGAGAAAAGCTGAGTGATTCATAGTTGATTATCACACAATGTTGCTGACACTGTGTACAATGTTTTCCTGGTTCTGCTCATTTCACTTTGCAACAGTTCATACAAGTCTTTCCAGGTTTTTCTGAAATCTGCTTGTTCATAATTTCTTACTGGACAAGAGTATTCCATTACATTCATATACCACAGCTTGTTCAGCTGTTCCCCAATTGATGGGCATCTTCTCAGTTTCCAATATTTTGCCATGACCAAAAGGGCTACTGGAAATATTTTTGCACATTTAGGTCTTTCCCCCTTTTTTTAATGATCTCTTTGGGATACAGATCTAGTAGTGGTATTGCTAGATGAAAAAGTACGCACAGTTTGGTTGCCCTTGGGGCATAGTTCCAAATTGCTCTACAGAATGGTTGGATCAATTCACAACTCCACCAACAATGCATTAGTGTCCCAATTTTCCCATACCTTCTCCAGTCTTTTCCTTTTCTGTCACATTAACCAATCTGATAGTTGTGAGGTGGTCCCACATAGTTGTTTTAATTTGCATTTCTCTAATCAAAAAGTGATTTAGAACACTTCTTCCTATGTCTATAGACAGCTTTAATTTCTTCATCTGAAAACTGCCTGTTCATATCCTTTGACCATTTATCAATTGGGAAATGGCCTGTATTCTTATAAATTTGACTCTGTTCTCTATACATTTCAGAAAGGAAGCCTTTGTCAGAGACTTGCTATAGAGACGGTTTCCCATCTTTCTGCTTTCTTTCTTATCCTGGTTACATTGGTTTTGTTTGTATAAAAGCCTTTTAATTTAATATGGTCAAAATGATCTATTTTATATTCTAACCAGTCTTTAAAGAAAAAACATAAATGCTCCTTCCTCCATGATTCCCTCAAGTGGCAACTGTCCCTTCATTTCCCTACAGCTCATATGGCACTTTTGTTGAAGATTTTCTGCGTATTATCTTTATTACAGTTATCTGCAAAAGCATCATCTGTCTCTTCTAGCCTCTAATTTCTATAAAAGCAGGAACTGTGTCTTACTTAAACTTTGTAACTTCCCTAAAGTACACAGTGGGCACTTAATAAATGTTTGTTGAAATTAATCAAACCCCCTCCACTCAGTTTCCCAACTGTTCTCCAAACACACCACGCCCATTCCAAGATTTAAAAGGATTCAGGAGATTGATGTTGATCTTGTGTTTTTGCTTAAAATCATGGTGCACATCAAAAGAGTCCTGATAATTATCTTTGGACTCTGACCACTCGTTAAAGAGCAGCTGGAGCCTCTCCAAGGTCCATCTGTGTGGATGGAGGACTCAATTATTTTGGTGGAAGAAGTATGGGGCCAGGAGAAGAGAAAAGGGGAGGCATTCAGTTGGTTGCAGCACAAATCTGAGCTAGTAAGACAGTGCAGTGTGTCGGTTGAGTACTAGACTTCAAGTTAGAAGACATGGTTTCAAATACTGCCTCAGACACTTATCTTTGTGACTCTGGACAAGTCACTTAAAATTCTCTCTCAATTTCTTCATCTGTTAAGTGGGGAGTTAAAACTTACCGACGTTTATCTATAGTCCTTCTAGCTCTCTATTTGAGCCTGTAATTTAAAATAGCTATAAGAGAACTAGTGGGAAATTAAAACATGATCTTCACCCCTTCCACACAGTTATCTCCTTTCTCTTTCAGCATTCTGACTGATTTCTAAGAAAGCCCTAAAAGTGAATGTTAAACTCCTTGGAAATTCTGAACTTCATAATCACTTCTACTGGTTGCAAAGAGATGAAGGCCTATACTTATGACCTGTCTGTGATCAAGTCTGGAAGCACCCAAGCATTAGATTTTGCTGCATTTTGGTGGAAAT